GGGAAGACCGGCTTTACTTGCAATCAACACAGTTATAGCAGCACCCAATTCAATGCACATTCCGCTAAAAAAATCACATGATTTAATGAATAAACTCTAATGGTCTTTTAAAGATGGTTGGGGAAGGATTTTGAGCATAGGACCTACGTGGTTGGTGTGATTTCGGTGAGATCATGACCGATCGTCTGCATAACCTTTCGGCCCCAGACCCAAAGACCGACTGAAATGCCAAGACCACCGTAGAAGAGAATCCAAACTTTTGGCATTGCAGTCATCAGAACATCACCACTTGTAGCAACAATCCACAGACCCATAACAGGTCCAATAGCGTTAGCCACATCATTACCACCGTGGACGAAAGAGCCGAAGGTGGCAGTGAGAATTTGTGCGAATGCAAACACCTCAGCCTCTTCTGGTCTGTCGCACACTTGGCCATCACGACCAATCTATAAAAGGAACAACTTGAAGCTAACCACAGTTTTATACTACTCTAGTATACATCAATATTGGCTTGTTTGCCAACATCTATGTGTACTCTTTAGGTTACAAAGTGTATCAATTTAACTCACGGTGCGTCCGTTTTCTTCCTCTTCGACATCGTCAATGTATGGTATGTTATCGATCTCCAAGTCGATACTAGTAGTTCTTACGACTACATCTAAATAAAACGTAGGCATTTTATTGGCAACTCTGTGGTTTAATTTAAGACTTATTTTGTTCAGTCATTTGGGGCAAAAAATGTTTTACCATTCTGGCGAGTCTTTATTGTACTATTCTCGGCTTTTTCGGTGGAGAAGAAGTTTTCAATCTTATTACGACATTGCCTTAAACAATTCCAATTGCGTTTCTTCTTGGGTGGCGGTGCCTTGCCAGAGAGACGGTCTATTCAATGCAAATTGCAATATATTAATATTTGCTGATAACCTTTGAGAAGAGGTTTGGGTGGTCTCCTTTAGACTTACCTTGAACCTTCTTGCGGATAATTGGTCGTACAAAAATAAGCACAATGAGACCGGCTACAAAGGCTGTAACACCAGCAGTGGTTAAGATTGCCCAAAGTGGCATTTCTGGCAAGTTAAGCACTAGAGGGGGGAGGGGGAGGGGGAGAGAACATTGGATTAGATTCATGTGAATAGTAATGTTAATTACCAATTACATGGAATGAATTTTACTTTTGAGTCCACCATAGAGGACAGAGAAAACGTTGATGAAGATAGTGATTGCATAGAGGAACGGCAGAGTATTAAGAGCTGGTTCAAGCGAATTCTCCTGTAGAGCGAATAATCGAAATTAGATTTTAATTAGGCGAATTTTTATAAAACTGCACTTACTTTCACCAAGACAGTGTATTTGATGACCAGATACAATGTACTAGAAACAATACCACTGAGAATGGGGGACACGAACCAGGAACCAACTGTGGAAAAGAAGACATTGTTGCGTGATTGACTTTAGCCGTCAACTATCGTTCATGGATATCAACTTACCAATTTTTAAAATTCCCTTCCATTGAACACCCTCAGAGCCAAAAAGTACAAGGCCGAAACCCGCTGTTGCTCCCACAATACTGTGAGTTGCAGATACGGGAATTCTAAGAAAGGTAGCTAGAAGCATCCAGGAGCATGCGCCTATGATGAGGTTGAATTATTCGGTTATTCATGTGAACAATATGGCCCAAATTTATAAAGGATAATTATCTCACCAATAAGTGAGGAGACTTGACCCTGCATTAATCGTATTGCTCCATTCTCTGTACCGTTAAATCGAACTGGATCAATGATCCCACCTCTTACTGTTGCTGAGACATGGCCACCGAGGAGAACGGAACCAGCAATTTCAAAAATCGTGGCAAGGATGCATGCTTGACGCAGGGTTAACACCTTGGATCCAACACTGGTACCGAAAGAATTAGCAACGTCGTTAGCGCCGAGGCCGAAGGCACTTACGAAGGCGATGAGAAAACCGATCACAACTAAGAGGAGCTCTGCTTCGCTAAGCATGGTGGTTTTCCTAGATGAACTGCAAAGTTGAGGATTTTTACGTAAATAATTGGTAACTCGCGCAAAACTTTGTTCACACTCACCTAAAATCAAATATAGAGCTTACCAACTACTGAAGAGATGACACGCACTCAGCCAACAATCAGAAGCGTATGATATGTTTCGATAAAATAGACCGTTTATATGCTTTCCAGGTGTTAGCACAAATACCTATACTTACCCTACTCGCCATTGGCTAACACAGGTGACCTCAAATAAAAAGGGAACGCTTTATTGGATTGATTTTGTTTGATCTTTTGTAAAAAGTACTTAAATAAAGTTAAACCAATGAGATATACTACTGTTGTTCAAAGTACCTATAATACAATATTTGAAAACGCCTAAAATGGGTTTTCTTTGTAGTTTGACTATAGTTTACATAGAGCTCATCGTCTCTTTTCTTCTAAAATTGATATATTCCTAGTGATGGCATTATCGATGTAAATTTGAGTAATCATGTAGAACTAATTTGGCTACTTTAAGAAGAAATAGTCATGAGATCACGAGGCACCCATTTTAGGCTTCGAAGCCTGCCTAATTAACTTTTCGCCTAATTTATCTCTTATGTCCTCTCGATTGAGAAGGCTCGACTGATGTGAATTCAAAAGATATCGAAAACACCCCCCCCCTTTTCACACAATACTTGAAGTTGGAATTGGATATCTCATCTCATAGTGGTCGATTGATCTTCCCACTTTAGCTTCTCAGTAATAGAAGAATTTTAGGTTATCTTCATCCTTTTCGCGAGAAAATTTTGTTCATTTTAGAAATATTTCAATGACCACTTATGCAGATTAGCATTATAATTGTTTCATTCACTTCTATTCTCTATAAAAATAGTTGGTATCGATCAGAAACAGAGCAATCGATAAACTATTATTTCATTCTCCATTTGTGATTCCTTTAGTCCACTAGAAAAATGTTATGATTATGTTCTCGCAATGCAAGTTTGACAGACATGAGGTCGCCCAGGTTAGAGGAACAGTACTATTTTTCCACTAGGCAGAAGTTGTCTACCCATGCGAATATCGATCAAAACTCCGTATTTACTAGCGTATGTTTACCTTGAGCCCAACATATATTTGAAGAGGAATGAGTCGTGAATTTGTGATCTTCGTAACAAGGAAGGCTACAAAATTCCTGGCACCTTTTAGTCTTTCCTCGTTACTCTTTGAAGAAATCAATACTGAATTTCACGTCTCAATGAACCGCACCCTATTTTCATATGAAAAGTTGATAGTTTTCGCATTTTAAAATCATTCAGCATAATAGGACTGGTTTTAGCATACCTAATTTAAAGACATTTTGGAAATGCACAAAAATCACTAATATTTTTATACAAGATTTCACGACACATATCAGGTTAAACGGCTTATTTTTGTGTTTAATATCATCTCATCTAGTTACTATGGTATCAGAACAAATGAACGTCCTTTGAGACAACACATTTTGAGTATGGTCTGCTTTCTCCGTTTGATCAATTGTAATTTATACAATATAATAGAATATTATCGAGATCGAATGTTTTCCTTCTAAGCGTCTTAAAATTTATAGCAGTTATCAAAAGTCTATAGGTGTATTTACACATTACTTTAAGATTTCAGCCTTATCCTCATTTCCCATTCTGGTGACAGCGCGCTTAATGTCATATTTTAACTTCCACATTATTCTAAACTTGTATTTTGATAGTGATATCTAATTAGCTGAAGACCTCTTTATATAAATTCAAGAACGTATCCTGAACTTTCCGCACTATTATTAGTACTCAACAGTCCCCCTCCCCCTCCTCTTCAGTAAAATATTGCAAAATCTTGGCACTTTGTTGAAGGTCAAAGCTTGACCTCAATTAAATTTCAAGAAGAACGTTCGCATGCAGTGTAGCGAAAGATCTTATAGTTGACATGCAAATATTGCTTCTGTTTCAATCCTTTTTTTTTGCATTTCCTCTAAAATGATACGGTGGCATTGATACTGAAATTCGCCAGTTATGTTAAAAAAGGAAAAGTTGTCGATATGCAGCATGCAAACATTTTATGTGTGTATCAAGCGCTGTTTGGTTGTATGTAACGTGATCTTTTAGCGGCTTTGAACTAAATGAACTAAATTTGCATTAACAGTGTATCGCTTCTCTCAGGTGATTCATTGAGTACATGCCTAACAACAGGCAACTACTAGATTGTTTTATTAAATTAGTTTTCTTTATTTACTTATTTGCGTTCGAAATTTAAAATTCCATTCTTCAAATAAAATGGATCAACATTAATTATAGCTTAAGCCAATAAACTCCAATTTGAGAGAGGAATTTGAGATTTTTGTTGAAAATGGAAGTAATAGCACTTAATGTTGTCGCTTACCGTAAAATACTAAAAGGTAGCAATGAACCTTGTAGCATTGTTCACAGAATGGTTCAGTTAATTGTCTCACCGAATTTCTAAGGTAATATCGATTTTTTCACTTCCGCTTATTGTGAAGAAGTGTATCTAGAGAATTGATCAAATTTCACTTTTACTTAATCATTTCAAAACGAAATATTTCGGTATTGATATAATAATAAACTCCTGACCTTCGATATTCCGTCTTTGACCTTTCATCATTGGTCACCTGCTTTCACTGAACCAACACTAGGAGCAGGTTGGTGAGCATATCACGTTATTACCCAATCTATCTACATCCCCTTGGCTGTGAACCATTGCGGTTCCCAGCAAAGGCGAACTCATTAATGTATTGCATCTTCACATTTTACTCCGGTGACATAGCTTTCAATAAGTTTAACATGGAGCACAGTGGAGTAGAAATATCTATCACCGTTAGTCGGTTGGTTTGTGGCCTATTTCTACGTTTGTGGGGCTCAAGCCTCCCAAACCTCTTCACTTTCCCATCATTCATGAGAACATCAATGGCGCAAAAGCAGTTCCCCTTTCGATAAACATCCGATTAATGAGTTATCGGTTGCTGAGAAGGGAACGTCAGTTAAATTTCGTCATCTTTTACATCAAGGACCTGTTTAGTAACTCTGTGATGATGTCGAACTGAATTGCAAGAAATTTTAACAATAGCAAGGCGAAATCGTGGTTTTCCTCTTCTGTAGCTGGAATATCGGTTTTCAGGATCGTAAAACTTTCAATCGAAACTCCAAAAATGTTAAAATTTCCAAACTTAAAATTTTAGTCCAGATCCAACAAGTACCTGTGATGCCAGTTGCAATGACTGTCCAAACCTCCTCGTCCCTAGTTAGATTCATGGACGAACTCCCTGGTAGAAGTGCCCAAAGTCGACTAAAACTAACACAAACCCCAATCCCAGCTCGCCGACTCGACCGAGGGTCGACAATCACTCTTTATGAGCTCATGCAATTCAACAACATCTGCACTTCCTACACCCCCCCCCCCCCCCCCCCCCCCTCCTCTCCCTTAACGATCCTCTGCGCCAAAATTCCTGGGAGATTGGTGGACTGATTCCTGGTCTAGAAATTCGAGCATCAGTTGTCAGCGTCACTTATTTATCCAATAGAAGACCGTCACAGATGTGGAATGAAATCAGTGGACTTCGAGGGATCCACCATACTCCAGTCAACGGAAACAGCTACAGTACTTATATCAGTAAACTTCCAGTAAGGAAAGTATACATTAAAGTCAAAAAATACTAATATGTTGAACATAAAATTATCAGCAAAGAAACTAAAGAAAGTGTATTGTTTTCCAGTAAGACTGTCTATGGCCGAGAGTAAAGACTGCCCCTATGCATTTTCGTCATAGTTTGATGTCACCAATTATTAAACGTAGATTCTCCTCTCGTCAACATTAAATCTATAGTTACCACTATTGCTATTATTATTGTACTGATTTGCAGAGTTATTAATATTATTTCAAATGGCAGGCGTTTTAATAATTATCATTAGCCATTTAGCTGACTTCGGGCTTCACAGAAGGCAAGAACATCAAAGTGAGGAAAATTCGATAGGGGAAAAGAAGAGCGATACACAGATGTAGAAGAGACAGACAGGCACTGAGATAGAGAAAAGGTGAGGTGAGTACTGTGAAAGTTGTGGAATATGACATACAGTGGGGTGATGGTAGTTTGAAGTGAGAAGTCAACTGCCGGTTTATAGACTTTTTGCCGTATGAGCTTACTTTGACCAAGGTGCACCACGTGGAGTAAGTCTATCGCATACCCCTGATTAACAGAGTTAAACCCGAAAAAATTATGAAATGACATAAATGATTTGAAATCATTGGGAATATTCTTACTTTAACAGAAGAGATAAATGAATGATAGTGGAAAGCAGAGTATGTAAGAGAATAGAAGCACTCATATTATTAATCCTCCATTATGAAATTCGACGTCTGATTAACCTGTAACCTTCTTTAAATTTATTTTAAAAAAACTAAATATTTGAACATCTAATGCTTAAATATCATATGCCTCACAAGTATTAAACCTAATTACAATTGTTTGAATTTTTCCCATCAAATGCATTGAGCAAACATCTCTTCTAACCAATTCTTTGCGAGACTTCTCATCTTGGTTTTTAATTAACCTTCCGACCTTTAGCTATTAATCATTCGACTAAGCTTTGTTAATCCCTTGATGTTGGCACAAGTCTCAGTTTCGGGTTAGGTAGCTTTCTCTACGAGATTAAACGCTTCTTTACTTGATCAGCTGTTGGCATTTTGCATCAAATAGATAAATGATAAATAAGCCTACGTGTTAGAAAAGTCTACAAGGGGGGGGGGGGTAATATATCAACCATGCTGTGTTGAAATGTCTTAAATGGAGTTACTACGTAGCAAAGCACTGAGTAACTGGGTAACCCACTGTCCATAGTTTATCCAAATATGATTTTTAGTCAAAGTCGGTGGGTTATGTGAATACGTAATCTCTGGCTAATATTAGTCGCCAATCAGACTCAGTCATCATACCGAATTTCGAAGCTATCGTTCCTTCCAATCTATTCATTTATATAAGATGTTGTTCATGGAAAAATTTTTCTGCCTATCCTCTTATGCATTCATTTTTAGAAATAAATCATTTTTGAAACTTGTCACAAGCATTGTGACCACAGGTTTTCGACCGGTGGCACCGATAAATGTGAAGCAGCAATTACTCCTTTGAATGCATAATGTCATGAAAAACATCAATAATATGTAATTAAGTTTAATACTATTTTAAAGCCTATAACTGCAAAGTGGGTGTTCGATATACTTATTACGGACTCCAACAAACCGCGCAATCGAGACGGGCGATTTGAGGTTAAAAATCTCGTTACTCTATCTACTCAAGATAAACATATGAATTGGTTTATTCTTTCAAAGAAATTTTAAACGATTCTTACATAATTCTTGTTGACAATAAATAATAATTCATGTTGAATTTTTTTACGTAGCTTCAACATTTAAAAAATTTTGCCTTAAGTACCTAGTCAGCTCGACACTGGTCGACATAGGGATCTCACTTATCCTGATAACATTTCTGAGCTAGGAGTTCTCTTAAAGTTTCTTTCAACATTGAATCATGCATACTAAATTAAGCATAACGAACAGACAAGTATTTGTGATATTTCAAGCTCTGCGTAGGAAATGAAGTAGTCACCGGTTAATTTTAAGTATTAAGTATTTACGAGAACCATTAAGAAAATGATCACAAGGAATTAAGTATATCATATTGCAGCTTTAACATCAAAATTCAAATGCACGCTTTTTTTGCACATAACTTGTTCTGATATTATACTCAAAATCCTTAATAGATCCAAAGCGATTGATTTTTAATTAATCTGCATCAGCATATTTGTTTATTATCTCTTCAACACGCTCTTTGTTTAAGAACCGTGATACAGTGTTCATTAGGACTATCACATCGATCCATAAGCAGATAGCCAAAAATTCTTTCAATAGAACTACTTTTAATATGAAAGTCATTTGTGCGAAAAAATACTTGTAAATCACAAATTGTGAGTTGTAAATAAAAGGTTTCCAGCAGAACGAAGGTCACAGTCGCAGCGTTGAGGCTTCGATTTCGGATGGTCATTTTAGATTAATTATTTCAAAGTCAATTAACTTCCATATATTATGAACACAACTACTAGCATCTTGGCAGGCATTCAAATTTAATATTGGCAGCATTTAGGTGGCTTTGCGACCTCCGGTTATTAACAAAATGGATATAAATATTATTTAAATACTACCTTTTACAGTTGTCAATTTTTCAGTGACTGCTTTTGCGAGACTTAAAATGCGTCTCTCTTACACCAGTGGAATATAAGATATTTTAAGTTTTAAATTAATATTGTTAAAAGCCTTTGGTTACTGATGAGATTTACTCACGTCGATTTCTCACAAATTGGACGGAAAAGAAGTTTATCAAGGCAAGCACAAGGTGTAACATACTAGAGATTAAGCAATCAATCTATCTACTTATTCAGATATGTATTTTAACACTACATAAAGGAGCGATTCTCCTTAATGTTTGGCGTTTATTATTCTGTATACGGCAGATTACTGGCAATTATTCTCACGAATTGAAAATATTTCATAAGCGATAACCTTGTTTTTGGATATTATGTGCATTTTGGGGCATATTTTAAGCCAAGTTATCTTAAGAAGTAATGTTAGTTTAAAGCCACCGATACTCTGGCAAATTTTCGTATTGACCAATAGAGATAAAAATAACCTTGTCTTCTAACTCTTAGTCCTTTGTGATGAGTTCGGGTCTAAGGCTGACTCAGCGACGAATAAATGACTTACTACAGAAAAATTGCAAATATTTCTACATTAAGTAGTGCAGGTTTAGAGGGCAGGTCAAATAGGTATGATTTCGAGTTAATTGCTCGAAATAAGTATGGTATGAGCGCGTGGCACGTGTCGCGAAAGGGATAGGACAATTACGGTGGGCGTCGATGATCACATTCCCGAGTATGGGGGATGTCTGTGGGTCGTTCATGCCTTCTTATACCTTTCGAGGGTGGGTGTCCCATTCGTTGGCTGTTGCTCGGTCACTGTCATTGGTCCCGTCTGTGACGAAAGTCGTGATTGGCGCTTTAAAGATAGGAGATAAACGCGATTGGCTAATTTGTATTTAGTTTCGGTTTCCCCGCCATTTATGACTGTGCCTACTATTGTGTATTTACGAGGTTTTAAATGACCGCTCAAGATGACCAAACCTCGGCTGTAAGTTTTACTATTGAGGAAAGAAAATTCTATGTATTGTCTTGATTTGTTTCCCTCTTTTGTAATTCTTTAATATATAATTTATGTAGCTTTTTTGCATTTATATAATTCTTATCTTGTGATTTCCCTGTAAAAGGAAGTGATTAAAAATATTCTTTATCGGTTTAATTTCGAGTTGTGATTTTTTTGAAGAGGAATCGTCGCAATTTTCGTCAAAGAAATCCCTTCGGGGATGAAGATGTTCAGGTTGTATTCGCCGGTCTTGGAATAAGTAGCGTATGCGTACTTCTTTTTAATTTTTCATATTATTAACAGAACTTCCAACGGCGATTAAATTCTAGTCGTCGGTAATTGTCAAGTTATTCTATATTTAATTTCTTTATAGTACTGCTTTGTTTTGTCACAATGACATGTTGAAACATTCCAATCCTTTACATGATGATTGCCCCGAATGTCCAGATAGATTAAGATCCACTTTTCAAAAGCTGATTGAATATGAACTACTCCGTCGGTGTCTTTTAATACAGGTACATTTTATCTATAATTTCTCCACTTTAGGATTATCTAGCCCTCAGCAATAGGAACTGAATTATTGCGGTTTATTCACGCGCAGTCATACATTGATGCAGTCGCTTCAACTGAGGAAATGGCTGACAGTGCTAGGCATCAATTCATGCAGAAGTTTGATTGTGCCTACTTTAGTAAAGTTAGTGGAGAAAAATGGAATTAATTATGTGTTCAGGATACTAATATTGCGGCTAGATTGGCAGCTGGTTCATTAACGCACGCAGTTGACATTGTGACACGCGGAGATGTTCGAAATGCCTTCTGTCTTGTCAGGTAGAAAAACCAAGCAGAGTAAGTTCATTTTATTTTTAGACCTCCTGGTCATCATGCAATGAAAGACGAAGCTTGTGGCTACTGTGTCTTTAATAATGTTGCGATTGCTGCTAAACATGCTTTAACCCAGCTTGTAGCAAACAGGTTAGTGTAACATTTACTTCCTCAATTCCTTTTTATTCGACTAAGTAGTATGTTATTTTCTTGTAGAATATTGATTGTTGATTGGGATATCCATCATGGCCAAGGAACTCAGTATGCCTTCTACAATGATTCAAAGTGTGTTAACAGTGAAATTTCTTTACATTTGTATAAGTATCCTTTGTCATCATTACCACTCTCATCTCGTTTACCTTCCAGAGTTCTCTACTTTTCCATCCATCGATATGACAATGGCGAATACTGGCCATCCTTGCGCGAATCTGACTATGATTTTGTAGGTCAGGGTCAAAGCTATGGATACAACATCAATGTTCCACTCAATGGAGTATGAATTGGACATTAAACACTTATATTATTTATTGAAATTGCTTTCTGAACTTTTTCCATCGATTTTAGAAAGATTACACAGATATCGACTATTTGACTATATTCAATGTTCTCCTTATGCCAATAGCTTATGAGGTTGGGTACCTTCATTTGCTTCTGCTTATTCTAATACTATAACTACATAAAATATTTTCTTTATTTTCTTAGTTTGGTCCTGATCTCGTAATCATTTCAGCCGGTTATGATTGCGCTTTAGGCTGTCCATATGTAAGATTTCTTTATGATTTTTGCCATGCAGGTCTGTGGTGGTAGTGGAATGAGAATGTCATTTTTTGCTTAGGGAGGTTTCATTTTGTCTCCAGCTGTTTTCGCTCATCTTACAAGTCGACTGATGGCTCTCGCCGATGGGAAACTTATTTGTGCATTAGAGGTGATATTCCTTCTCTTGTTGTATATATTTCTTAGGGCGGTTATGGGTTGGAAACCCTCAGTGACTGTGTTGCTCATACCGTTTCTGCACTCTTGGGAGATCCGTTACCAACACTTGATCCTCTAAAGCCATTGCATCCTGGGTAGGCGATTGAGTGTCTTATCTAATAATCTTTAAAGAACTCGAGAGGCCATACGAAACTGTGTATCTGTTCTGCGGGCGAAATGGAAATGCCTTGGCGTATTCCCAATTAATCAATCTCTTCCTTTAAAAGATCTTAGTTCTCTTGCGCTAAATTCTTGGTAATTTGCCACAATTCAACCTAAAATCGTCTGTAGGAAAACAGTCATGGTACCATCAACGGCTGTTGATCCCTTTGAGAGGAGTGAAAGCGAATTGAGCGCTGATAAGGCAAAGCTGGAGGAACTCAGAAAATCGTACAGATTTACTGCTTTAACTGATCTGGAACGAGTATGCTTGGTCTATGATAGTCGAATGGAGAATCACAAACCTGAGCAAGAACGGTGGGTCCTTTCAAAAGGAACTTTTTCTCCATTATTTTATCTTCTTGTGTCCATTATGCAAGATTTATCTTCATGTTGAAAACCAATTTATATTTTTTTCGCTTTAAGGGCTAGAATAGTTGTTAGGTCTAGAGTATTTGCCATTCCTTTCCATCTCTCGTTTGTTTGGTAATGTTAGTCTGACTTGATTGGATGGTTTTCTCAGTTTTGGATAGTTTTATAGTTTAGTAATCACCAGCTTATTTCAGGGCTAAGTGAGTCATTGTTCTTCCAATGCTTTGAATTACACGGCTGCTAGAGTAGATACCTGGATTAGGCGAGCTAAGCTATTGCTAATCTTTTATATATACCCCAATGTCATTGCTAGAGGGTGCGTGAACTTTCAGTTTCGAGGGGTAATGTCTGGGAAAATCATGTTCATCTTGACGTGACTTCCTAAGATTAAATGTATATATTCTATTTTAGTTTCTCATTCAACCTCCGATTAAATATTAAGACTGATTTAATGTCGTATCCCATTCTCCCCTTGCTAAGTGAATGTCAGGCAAGCTCGTCCTGTAAATTGGGCTCCGCTTGAGCTCTCTTTCTATGGTTTAATGAGGTCTCAGTCCTCTTTAAGATAATCTTCAATCAACGTCACTAGAACCCCACACTATTGATTGCATTTTCAATTTTTTCTTGCAACATTTTAATATTTCAAACTAATATTGTTTATGTGACTGATTCTGGTACGCATTTTTTATACTCTAGGTACCTCGAATGTCCAAATCGAACTCGTCGAGCTTACGAACTACTAGAAGAATATGGTCTAGCCAGACGTTGCAGGCGAACTGATGCCCGTCTAGCCACAGACGATGAACTACTTCGTATTCATACCCCTGAGTATATTGATGAGCTCAAAAAAACAGCTTCAATGTCTCAGAATGAGATTGATGAGTATGCTAAACAGTTTCAGTGGGTATATATGAATAAGGTATAAATTAATAATGAAGTTGGATTCACTTTGTTTGTGTAGTGAATTTTTGTCGTATTTTTTTCATTATTTAGCACACATTTGATTCTGCTTCACTAGCTGGTGGATCCCTTCTTGCTGTAATTGATGATGTCTGCAATGGAGAAGTATGCATTGCTTGATTTATTCAATATTGATTTTTTTTCTAGTCCCTGCACGGAGTAGCTGTGATACGGCCTCCAGGCCATCATGCCGAAAGGGATTGCTGCATGGGCTTTTGTTTTTTCAACAACATAGCGCTCGCGGTGCGGCATGCTCAAGAGGTTCATAACCTGCAAAAGTAGGTCCGTTTCGCGTATCCTCTATGCTCATTTAGAATTGCGGTTGTAGATTGGGACATACACCATGGCAATGGTATTCAGCGTATCTTTGATGATGATCCTAGGTTAGTTCGTCATGATTACCTAAATTCAATTTCTTCTGGGCTTTTTTTAAATAAACTGGTTTATTGATTTTCAGTGTGCTTTTCATCTCAATTCATCGGTTTGATGGTGGCCAATTCTTACAAAACTCATCCGATGCTTCAGCTGATCATGTTGGTGTTGGAGAGGGTGAAGGAACGAATATTAACATTCCTTGGAACGGGGTGTGTGATTTCACTTTTATTGATTATGTGTACCTGCAAGTTAGTAGTCATTAAATTGTGACCCATTTACGTACTGGTCATTGATATTTATCAGAAGACGATAGTACAGAGCTAATTTCTCAAGTTGAGGAACTTCAATATGTCCTTACTCTGTTCTTCACGGTGACTAATAGCTGAATAATAAATTAATTTAGTAGTAATAGTAATGACCACTACTCGAGTTTTTTTGAATGCTCTACTTCAAGAAAATTTTCGTCGATTGCATTAAGCTTTTACTTTATAGTTGGTCATACTTCCATTTTCTGAACTTTTTTGGCGTAAGTTCATTTACTGTTCTATGAAACTGCGGAAGGTAAGTTTGTCGTTTCCTAAAATATTTGCCCTTCAGAACAAAGCATTTTAATCAAAGCTGGAAAAGGATTCACCTTCTAACGAGAGAACGAAATTTTGAGAAAGATAATTATAGAGTTTTATGGATTTTTCCAATTAGTGTATGCACTATGAATCCTTTTCTCCAATTGGTATCCTCGGCGCGATTACTTTTAATTATTTTATTACTAATATTTCCAGTTCTATATGTAATGTACAAGAAATGGATCCAGCATATGAATGTATTATACAACAACTAATTGAGTGATATAAGTTCTATCTTCTATTTGTTTTATTATAAAAGAGATCAAAGTCGCTTGGAAATGCTTTATGCAATTTTACTAATTAGTGCAAGGTCAATTTAATCGTTCATACCAGTGTGCTGAATTGTGGTGCTCAAGAACAATGCAAATTTCTCTACCATAGTCAGTTTATCATCACCCTCCTTTTCTCCTCTAGTCCAGAAATTTCGACCAAAATTATTTAGATTCAACCAACCAAAAGTTAGAAATTCCTAATTTTTGCTCATTCGATGCATGTGTGTTTGATTTTAGCGTAATTTACGTGATGGTGACTTCATAGCTGCATTTTTTCACATTGTGCTTCCAACCCTCTATGAATTTCGACCAGATCTCGTTATTGTAGCTGCCGGTTTTGATGTTGTTCGTGGAGATCATTTGGTATGATTTCTCACTTTTCGTGCCTTATGGTCATGCATTTACTCTGACTAATATGTGCCTTTGTGTTGCAGGGTGGAGTTAGTGTTTCAGTGGAATGTTTTGGTCACTTAACTCATCATTTGATGGGCGCTGCGTCAGCTCTCTCAAGTCGAAGATGTGGTCTAGTTCTAGCTCTGGAGGGAGGATATAATATCAACGTCACTTCTGAGGCTCTTAGTCATTGTGTTGCTTCACTGCTGTCTGATCCTTGTGTGCGTCTGCCTGGAAGCCAAGTACCCACAGAAAAGTGGGTTCTATTTTTCCTTTTTCTCGTGAAATCTTGTTCCTTTTGTATTGTTTTGTTGACTTGTTCGAGAATATATATGTTTGTCGTTGGCACCAATTTTGTTATTTCTAGTTTACTTTGTGTCATCTTGATCATTTATTATTTTCTAATTTTTTTTATAAGAAGCTGCCTGACTCTCCGGAAAGTCTTTGAAGTTCACTCGAAGTACTGGTCTTCAATATTTGATTACAGTGAGTTACCCGGCCCACGTATATATCGTGGGGAATAATTATTATTGCTCTTATGATCTGCACTTCTCTATATGGGTTGCAGTTACTGACTCTTAGCTTTCCCAAGAAGTATTGTTAGTTACAAGTAAGCTCTAGCACCAAAGTACAAAACGAAACGCACGTTTTCTTAACTTTCTTTCATTATATGGTCCAGCCCTGTTCAAAAATTAGACTCTTATTAACTATTTCCTCTATGACTTTTAGTTTCAAGGGGTTTTCTGTTGGCTATATAAGCTCATTTGGTCATTATTCGTGTTTTTTGTTTGAGATCAATCATTCCAAGTACAACGGCACTTTAGCATACCTCGTATTAATTTTTTCACTTAATTAATTATAATGTATATTACCTAACTATTTCAAGATTTCTGCATAAATCTAATTGTTAGTGTAATGGCGTTTTGAGAGCATATGCACTTCCCTAATTTGTGCTTTGTTATCACATTGTGTGTTACGTAAGTCATGGTATTTTCCTTTCAGGTCCGCTAAATTGTCATTTGGATCAAACAACAGTTAGTACAAATCCATTTATCACAACCAATTCAACGATCACTGTGGGGAATACTTCGACTACTCGAGCGTCAAGTGAAACTACAATTCCGCTAACAGCCACACCTAACGTCACTACGATTGCGTCCTTTGAATCTACTGATTTTTCTGCCGAATCATCGTTTCTCTTGCATACTGTGTCGATATCTACCTATCCGATGGAAACTACTAATGCTTCATTCACTGCCACAGATTATCAACAGGAAGAAGTCATTACACTGTCGCCAACTCCAGCTCATAATGAAGGTTTGTTTATCACTTTCCTTACTGATGAGGCTGCCATTTTGACAATATTTATTTTTTGGTGATTAACATGATCCACGGTCGCATATCATTTCTTTCCATTAGATTTACCTTGATTTCGTTTTAACTTCATCCTTGAAGACGAATTATTTTGTGTCATCACCTTTGGAATTTGTTTCCTCTTGTTTATTTCTATTTTTTTGGGGTTTCTTTGTTTCCTAAACAAATTAGGATTCTCATTACAATGGTATTGCTGGGAAAGAAGTAATATAGCAGAGTTGCAGTTTAATGAAGGTAAAGTTGGGGTTTGTACTTTTTGGATTGCATTTGAAATATATTAACTGAGCGAAGAAGAAGGAGATGCGTAATAATTAAATTTTATTCCATGTTGGACTTAACTCCATAAACTGCCAGCATTGTAGACCATTATATCCTTCGTCGTCTTTTAGGGCCTTTAATATGCATATAAATGGGATAATTCGTTTTTTGGTCTAAATGTTATGAAATGTAGTTTTTTTATTCTTTTCAAGCATCACATTTGGTTGCACTTTCGGTTACTCATTTGTTGGATGTTACGCATTTCACATATTATATCACTCATTGTTTCAAAAAATGAGAACATTTCTTGCTCTTAACTAAATTGTTTAATTTAGCCTATCCTGCATCCCAGAGTCTCCTTACTTCCACCCAGCCCTCTCAACCCCAACCGTCTGTGTCGACATTAACACCAACTGCTGATGCTCCAGTGCCTGGACCTTCAACAGCACATTCCTCGTCGAGCCAAATCAGTTTGGACGCTATGCGTCAGCTTGTTGAATTTTCTGATGTTGGAATCGAGGATCTGAATACCTTTCTTGGACTTGTAAGCTTTTTGCTTGTTCAGATAAGACTGCTTCTTTCCACTAACACCATCTTCGTTGTATTAGACCGTACACGAATTACTCTTATTAAGATTTAAGGTCGTCAAGTCTTTAATGAAAGAGGAGAATGGTGACTGAGTGGGCTTAAATTTCTTCATAGGCAATTTGGACTAGTTGATGAGGTGGAAATTTTAATTGAAAATTTAGGAATTGTAGTGGTCAGTTATCTTAAATCTGCTTAAAGCGGGTATGCAAGGTGTAAATGCTCAAACTTCCATCGGCAGTTAGCTTAAACCTGCTACTTTTGATAACAGGAACTTGCACTCGATTAAGGGCCAATCTGGTTTAATAAGCACGTCTTCAGTCCGGATCTCTAATTTGCCAGGATGTAGTTGGAGGGAAGACTATTATTGGCCAGTTAAAAACGAGGTATACACTGTTGAACAGGTACATACAGGAAGTGGCTATCGGGAAAATGAGCACTAAAAAATAGAAAACTGCTTGTAAGTAATGAAGTCTAACTAGTTAATCCTTTGTGGGTGGAATTTTTTTAAGAAGCAAGGGAAAGACATGGCTACGAACAATAATTTTCAGATTAAACATGTCAGGTCACTAGAATCCTTTATCTGCATCTAATTAATGCTTTGTCTTGTTTAGAATTCTACTGATCCTGTACCTGATCGTCTGTTTGCTGTGGAGCCGAGTCTCTGGTGTCCTCATCTGGACCTCGTTGAATCGGCTGGTCAGTGGCGTCCCGATATTAATCGTCCTTGTTCACGATGCGATAATCGTCAGGAAAATTGGGTCTGTCTTACCTGTTATGAGGTTAGTTATACATAATTCTACGTAGACAGTGAAAAATTTTAACTAATAATAAATGGACTTTGAAATCAAAACTAAGAATTTATCAGTTTTGGCATATATTGTATCAGTTAGGCCAACAGAGACAAGTGAAATCGAACTTAAACAGATCTTATCTTTAGGAATCTGTGTAAAGTAGCTAAAGTCTTGACTTCTTACCTTTTAACGTGTATAAAATCTTTTTTCTAAGAATATGAGTAATATTCATATTTCACTAATTACCTTGAAATCTAATGTTCTCATTTAGCAAGTATTGGAGAAAAAATTTTGGACGTATTTACACTTATACTTGGTCCTGTATTTAAGTTTATGTCTTTTGAATTATAGGTGTACTGCGGTCGCTATGCCCAAGGACATATGTTGCAACACTACAATACTTCGCAACATCCCATTGTCCTGAGTTTAGCCGATCTTTCTGCTTGGTGTTATGTCTGCAATGGCTACATTCATAACGAGGTGAGTAGTTTCTCGCTCATCTTACTTTCTAACAATTCGGTAGCATTTTAATATTACTTTTTGTTTTCATTAGGTTCTTTTGGAAGCAAAACGTGCCCTACATTTGGCCAAATTCGGGGTTCCCATGCCAGGCTAATTTAAGAAAAATTCCCGCACCAACTACTGTCTTCCTCTATTTTTGTTGACTTCTCTACTGTTCTATTTCTGCTTTACTTTTGAATAAAGTCTTTGGAAGTAAATTTTCTCTTCTATTCACTTTTTTCACTATGTGGTTAGGTTCTGTCCTGGTTATTAATTTAAGCTAGATAATACTATTTATTTTGAATCAGTAGCGATTAATTAGTTGAATTTATGATTTCTCAAATTCGGACGTTCGCTTCAATTAAGGACTTTATTTGCTTTAAGATGAAAGCAAAACCTCAAACCACTAGTGCACCACAGACTTCATGTTTGGATGAAGCGAAATTCGGGAAGTATGTAGATTTCTTTGTGACTTTATTATCCCTCAGTTAAACGTTATTTAAATTCGTTGAATTGTTAAGGGGTACAGGAATTTGTTTTGATGAACGAATGGAACAACATCGTCACGAGTGGTTTCTCGACGAGCAGGAATGTCCAGAACGTGTTGCTCGACCCCTCAAATTAATGGAAGACCAGGGTCTTATATCTCGATGCACGCGCGTACCCGTAATTACTACTATCTTTATTGAGTTGGGTCGCTTTTAATTATGTTGTTCCTAACTCTTACTCCATTTAAAGGCTCGTCATGCAACAGACGAAGAACTCCTTAAAGTTCATTCTAAAGACTATATTGAGCTTGTTAAAAGTTCGGCTAAAATGGGTAAAGATGAGCTATATAGTCTCTCCGGAAATTATGACGGGGTCTTCTTTAATTCGGTGGGTTTTCTTTATACCGTTCTACTTAATAGATATAAGTAGGTTTTTTAATATATTATATTTTACAGCATACCTGGGAAGCCAGTAGTCTTGCCGCAGGATCGGTAACAGAACTGGCTTCCCAAATTGCCAATGGTAAAGTTGCGAACGGTTTAGCTCTGGTTCGTCCTCCTGGTCACCATGCAATGTATGATGAAGCCTGTGGGTATTGTATCTTTGGAAATGTGTCCATAGCAGTAGCTAGTCTTTTGGACTCTCTACCCCTGTCTCTCTACAACCCTATTCCGTCCAAAGTTAGGCCACTTACTTCAACTACATCTCCTAAAAACTCGCTCCGGAGTCCTCGTTTTAAGCGCATTCTTATCATTGATTGGGATGTACATCAAGGACAGGGAACACAGTATAACTTCTACAATGATAATCGGTGTGTTTATTAGTCTGTTTTGTTGAAATTTTAATAGCCTCTCAGTATTGTTCATTATTTTGCATTACGAGTGGTCTTTATACATAGAAGCATTAAGAGTTTATATTTAGGAATTGGATTTTTACTGGTTTATTCGCGCTTTGACTTTAATAATTTCTACTGACTAGTCATGCCAGGTTGCTGTCAAAGACTTCATCATCCATTCAAATGAGTACCTATACGATCTCAATTTGGGGCGAGAAAGGGAGGTTGGGGGCGGGGACTTTGTTATAAGAGGTTCAAAAATTTTCATTGCTGACCTCCGTTCAGTTTAATGGTTTGGTGCTTGTCATTGATCGGGCTTTCGAGAGCTTATCAAAAATCTCTCTTTCGGGTAATTTAGCATTAAACTTTATTTAAAAGCTCGAGACTGGTATTTCGCAATGTGACTGTTGTAATTTGGAATTGAAATTTTCTTGCTGATCATTGTGTCTTTGGAATAATATTCATTTCACTCGTTTCAACATGCTCCCTTCTTTTGCAAAATCTTTTACTATACAAGTTGTTGTTGATCAGACCTTGTTAACATTATGCCACTGGTATGGGTAGTAGGGCTCTGGGGTGCCTGGAATTGCTTGGTACCTTCATATCTCTTTTAGCCACGACAATCCGGTCGAACCAAAGACTGGACTATAATTACCATTGCTTTTCTAAAAGCCCTTACCTCACCTCTAGGGAGTTGGAGCGAAACGCTGAAGTGAATGCATGCTCAAAAGAAACGAGGCTTTTATAGAAGCGCTATCTCCCTAGTGCAACAATGCAATTGCGTTGTTTTGTAACACACGTCATCATGGCCTCCTCAACGTGAAATCGGTTTCGATTGAATCTCCTTGAGAGGGATCCTGTGTTTTTCTGAGTTGAAAATTGAAGAAGCAGAAACGCCGATTTTCATGAGTCATAGCTTCCTTCTCTTTTCTGAATTTATCCATCTTTAGCCGCGCTTTCCTTTGTATTAACTAGTGCTATTTTTACAAACAGATTACAATATTACTACATGCACCACTTTGTGTTTATCTCTGTTACTATCTTTGTACTTTAGTTTGGGCCTTTGTTGAGGTACCAGCTCGCAGATTTTGGCTGTTTTGCACACTCATGGTCAATGTTAGGCTTGAGTACAGTCGACTTCTGGCTTCACAGAGAGGGGGGGGGAAGACATCAAGGTCACGAAAACTGGAGAAGGTGGAGGGGTGGGCAGAAGAGACTGGCATAAAGGTAAAGAAAAAAGTAAGGTGAGTACCGTGGAAGTGGTCGAATATGACATACAGTGGTTTGAACCCAAAAGTCAACTGCCGGTGTATCGCATTTCCCTATTAAATTTCCCCTTGTACTTGCTATAAGTCAGAATTGCAATCCATTCCTTTTATTTTCATAGAGTTCTTTTCATTTCCATGCACCGCTACGAGTGCCAGAAATTTTGGCCAATGCTAAGAGAAGGCGACTACGATTTTATTGGCGATGGCATAGGCCGTGGTTTCAACATCAACATACCTTTAAACAAGGTTAGCACAAGGACTTCTTTCGAATTTTTTGTTTTAATCCAATTTGTAGACTGGAATGACTGATGGTGACTACCTGGCAATCTTCTATTCTTTGATTATGCCCATCGCTTATGAGGTATGCATTTTATATTATGTTGTCTACTAATCCCCCTCCCTCCTTCCCTCTTCTCTCATTCTAGTTCAATCCCGAGATTGTATTCGTTTCATCTGGCTTCGATGCTGCTGTTGGCGATCCAGAGGTATGAAAACAAGATACTTACTTAATGCCCTCGACGTGCGAAGCATATTGTATATTTGCGCTAAACTCTTAAGGGTAAAATGTGGATTAGTCCAGCCTGCTACGGCCATATGACTCACCAGCTTCGAACCTTAGCTGATGGAAAATTGGTCGTTGTTCTCGAGGTAAGTTTAGATGAGGTCTAGATACGAAACTTGCCATGCCGGGGGATAACTGGTTCGGATTTGCTGTTCTTAGGGTGGATACTTCATTGAGAGTCTTGAAGAAGGCTGTGTTCAAGTTCTCAAGGCTCTTCTAGGTGATTATATCGCCCCACTTCAAAACTTGAGTCCTCCATCTAAAAGGTATTTGTAAATATTCTCCTTGCTGAAACACTCTTCAGTATACGGTGCACTATTTCTTCATCCATCATAGCCCTTCGTGAATTCTGGCAGTGTCTAGGTTTAGTCGAGTTGAGCCTATGTTCCACTCGTCCTGATATCTCGCGATTTCCGCCAAATTCATGGTATGTCTACATGTCCAATTTATTGTCTTAAAGGCCTTTGGTAAAGAAAGTGGTTTGGCCAGAAAAGAACCCAGTACTTCCTCAATCTGTCATTGTCCAATGTCGAAAGATGCTTTACGATTTCACGGCAGCATCATGTAATAAGTCTAATAAATTGGATCTCATTATTGTGCTCCCCTCATTCCTCCTACAGAATGGCCTCAGCGAAGGACCTTTTAATAGGTGGTCAAAAGAGTGAGTTATTGCTATAGTTCTGTCAGAGGCGTTTTGGCCTGATTCTAGCGCTTTACTTCGGTTATTCCTTTCGTCTGCAGCTTAACTCTCAACAGCCGGATTCAGTTATATGAAGCGACTCAAACAGATTCAGCAGATGAAGAGGTAGGTAGACAGGGTGGCTGTCTAATTTGTGCTTTTTCTCGTGCACTTGAACACCTTTCGCTCTTTGCACAGACTGTGACACCCAAGAAAAAGTCCCGGTTTAGCAAGTCTAGCTCATCTTGGAGAAGTTCTACTTGTAACCTCTCCGAATCGTTGGAGAATGCAGTGGAAAAATTGGCTAAAGACGGGGTTAGTCAACTCTCTCTCTCTCGATTGCCTTTTAATCCTTTCGCGTTTTCCCTCTTTAATTGTGAGTTGTTCCCGTGCCTTTGCAGCCCAGGGTAGCTCTGATAATAGCAGAGTGTATTTCACTGGGTAAACTGATCTCCTCCTTCAATGAAACCAAAATAAATGCCAATGGGAGTGAGAAGAATCTCTCATATCGGAGCCTGTTGGAGAAATCTTCCCCCAGGTCAACGCGTTTCAAGAGGAGAAGGAGTAGTCTTAAAACAAATACAGAGTCGCCCAATCTTCATCATGTAGAATTCGCAACTAAAATTCTCTATCTCGATCTGGTATTGGGGAAGGAGTTAAGCCCTGACATTTTCGGCGACTTAAAATCACCGAAAAAAGCCAGTGATTCGGCTTACAAATTAACAAGGTATTAGTTCTGTTTTTGCTTTGATTTTTCAGACCAAAAGGCATTGTTGCTTTGAGTTCTAATTTTTTTGCCCTTTAGCTTTTATTCGAGTTCTCCTAGTTGGAGACAGCCAAAATTTGGGCATATTTATATAGTCCTTCCAATTGTCCTATGAATTTTCACGTTTTAGACTTGACCCCTTACGTCATTGCTTTTAGGGATGATATATGTGTATGTTTGTGGTGTTGTGCGTTTTAATAAAGGAAACCTATTCCAGGCACTTTCGAATAGCGTTGCAGCAAAATAACGAGGTTTGTATTTTCCTCTTGAATTGAAATGCCCTGACCTTTATTGTTTCAATTTAAAGCCAGTTTCTCTTGGCTTGTCTGTTAAAGCGCAATTCAGTCTCAGGGGGTGGGGGG